TTTCTTTAAAAAACTGAACCGCTCCGCTTCCCTCCCACCAGCCTGGTGCTCCAAATGTTCCCCACAGGACTGAGTGACAAACCAACCTTATTCCATTCTTTCCCTGGCTCTTTCGTTAAGCCAAGGTAGCAGGATGAGGGCAGGTCGTTGTTTAGCACGTCATACCAGTCTGTTCTGTTGTTCACCCCACAGCATTTAAACTGCACACAGAAGCAAAGAGAGGAGAATAAAGACAATCTGCAAAAGCAGTTCAGTAGCAGCAGGCTGGTTGTAACTGCAGCTGCTTGGTGTCAGTGATATACTAAGAAACAGAAGTATTCAGAGGGATTCAACCCAGTTTTCATGCATACTGTTTTCTGCACATTGTCCCATGAATTTTGCAGTTCAGGATCTGAGGCATATTTCTTCATCCCATCCTTTAGATTAGACTTGGCATATAACTCCACCTAAAAAAAGACAAAGAGATGAACAATTACTGCTTCAAATAATAATTATATTTATTTGTTTTTTCTAGGCTACAGAAACAACAGCTCAATGCATTTTTGGCAATAATTGGTGGTTTTGAATAAGCCTCACTATCCAAACTGCCAACATTCCAATTGTTTAACAGCTGCTGTAACAGAACATTGGACTTGCAAATGTCAAGGACTCTACATCTCTGCAATAAGACCTCCTCTAGGGGAACCGGATCATATTCCTTTATTTTCTCTGCTCAGAGTAAAAGGCTCTTTATCAGGGGCGGCCTGCACTGTGAGAAGATGGTCACAGAACCTGAAGTAGATGTGTTGAGGCTGCAGACTGGGATGCACTGTAGAGGACATCAATGCAATGACTGACTATTGATTGTGTCAATAAAACCCTACCCACTAGAACTGTGAGATGCCCAATAAGAAACCCGTGATTACTGGTGATCTGAAGGAACTGCTAAACAAGAAAAAAAAAAACCTTGAGGAAAGAAAAGTAGGAATTATAAATGCAGAAAAAGAGAAGCAATTTAAAATCAAGATAAAAGGATGAAAGAAGGCATATAGGAAGAACCTGGAGAACAAGCTCAGCGGAACAATGTCAGAGATATTTTGGTCAGGGATGAAGAGAACAACAGGCTTCAAGTTTCTAACCAGTTAGATATGAATAGTTGTTCCTGTCAGGAAGTACTTTCCAGCCAAGCAGTGTAGCGAGACATCATGTGCTCATTAAAAAACAACGCTTTGAATACACCCTGAGCAACTCTCCCTCAAGTCAGTGAAGACTCCATATTGAAGAATGTGGGGACCGTTACCTACAGAGTCCCTCAGACACATTTTCCCCCCCAGCATTTTATTGTCATAACAGTGTCACAAGTACAGAGCAACCAAATGAACTCTCTGTATTTAACCCATCCCCTTGGGGAGTAGTGGGTTGCCTTTGTGGGGCACCCAGGAAGCAGTGTGGGGGTTAAGGGTCTTGCTCAGGGACCCAGAGTGGCAGTCTTTGGGAATGGGGCTTGATGTCAGAACCTTAGGACTCCAAGCACAGTCCCCTAACCACTAGACCACCACTCCCCACAGCAGGCATTAGCATGAAGGGTCTTGCCTAAGGATCCAGAATGGCAGCTAATTTCCCCTGGGATACGAACCCAGGCTTCCAGTTTGCTGGATAGGTGACTTACCACCTAAGCCTTTTCTTGGCTCTTTCAAAGATTCCTACTATTTCAAAGATCCCTTGTCACTATGCTAACGACACAGTCACTGCTTTGGCTACCATATTTCTGAGTGATTGGGGTAGGCAGGTCGTGAACACAGACAGTCCACTGTTGGGCTCCCAAAGGATCAGACCTTGGTCCAACTCTGTCCATTCTTTACATCCTCCCCATTAGATCATTGGATTTTATTTAATTGCTTCACTGAGGACCCACAGCTTTACATTAACTTGAGTGTCCAGTTCCCCCAAGCCCCATCAGTCTCAGTATCCACTCTGTTAAAACACAATTTCTGTTTTAATTCACTTCTATATTTTTGCCAATAAGTCTCCGTCAAGCAGATAATAAGATGACACCAGATGTTTTGGAGGAAACCTACACCTAAGGTCTATGGACATAATACCTAACCCTAAATTAATACCTTTGGTGTATCCTTTCCCCTGAGGGTCAACCCTAATCCTAACATTGGTGGATGAGAATGCTAAATCTGAGGTAAGTGGATTTAATACAACTTTGTTCAATTGCTGTTGGAACCAACCCCCTTTTGGAGACCGACCGCAACATTAACCCCTTCTCAAGGGTACAGAAAACCTCGCCTATTCAGCCAGGCCGACAATTCCCTTTATAGACCCCCAGTCCAGAGACCAAGACAGGTATGGGGCATTGCAGGCTAACAAAGAAGCCAAACGACCGCCATTCCAAAGGGGTGTTGCAGTTTGTCCGTTTCAGTTTGGATGTTTTCTAAACAAAAACAAGACATTGTTGAGCTGCTGTATAAAGCAACTCAACACTATTTCTGACATTTGAATGGAAAAAGCTTCGTGGATGGGAAGCAAAAGGTCTTCAAACTTGGAAACAAAGTCCAGTGTTTTTTTTTTTTTACTTTTTTGGATTACTGGACTTTATTCCTACATGGAGGGTAAAACAGGTTAAACCAAGTAGGTACGATGCACCAAGCCCAACCTTTTAGGTGTTTTTATGTGGCTCTATATCCACAAAATATATTGTATTTTTTTTCTCTTCCTCTTTGTTAATGCAGATTAGAGACTGAATGGAAGGCTGAGATCTCACCTGGTCGTGTAGATAGTATAAAACCAGCACCATGGTGACCTCTGTCAGGACCAGAATCAACAGGATTACAAAGAACTGCAAAACAGAAAAGAGCAGCTGAATAATGACATGCAACATTCAAAGGTTGGAATTTAATAACAAATCCATATTTAGTTCTTTTTAAATGTTCTTTGAAAGCATATCACATATTGCTCTTACGGTGCACAAAAGACAGCGCTGCTCCTTCAGAGCTCCAAGGCAACCCAGAAATCCTGTCACCATAGTGATGCCACCGGCAACCAGCAGCAGATTGGCGGCTGAGAGCGAAGGAAAGGACGACGAAAGATAGTAAAACTCTGCCTGTGTGAAGGACAGCCAGACCCCGACGCCGAACAAGCCACATCCTCCCAGCTTTAAAGGAAATGTAACATCAGAACACGATTAAAACCGCTGAAAGGAAATCTGACCGACCGAATGATTTTAGCTACAGGATATCATCAATATTATTATATTATTATAACATCAATGCTTTAGCAAGAAAGTTTGAACATAAAATAAAACCAGCAGTTTGTGACTGGTAAAAATACTAACCCAGAAGACAAGATTGAAGACAAACATCAAGTATTTAACGCAGCAAAAGCACCTCTGAGACGCAGACATCCTGCAAGAAATCAGAGAAAAAATTTTTATTTAAAGAGTTTTTCACTGCACTTTGTCCTTTTCAGGACCCATTTTAGTGCCCTTTTAGGGCTAATTTTAACCTTTTATCAGGTACTCAGTGAAAGGTCAATGTAATAATAAGAAATGGCCACTTGTCCTAAAATGTTGAGAAAATAACAAAAGGGCTTCTGTAAGAAATTCATGAAAAGCAGAGCGTGGAAGAATTTTTTATTTTTTATTTTGTAACCTTAGAGATTTAATGCTGAAACAGGCAATCACATTTTTTACTTTTTTAACCTAGCTTATTAACTTTATAAATATATATATTTATTAACTTATTAACTTCCATAATTGGCTTTTTACCTTTTTTCTTGTCTTGTAATATTTTTTCAACTTAGTGGGTAATATATCATTCAAGGGCTAATTGGTCACATGCCAAAATAAATAGTACAGCATCTTTGCTGAATGGCTGACTGGATATAGATATTGTCCTTCTAGACCTCACTGAGGGAAGGGGGGTGGGGGCTCCATTTGTTAGGGGGACGCAAGTGATCAAAAACAGTAGCTTGCCCTATAAAGGGGATGTTTATTTCCTCACTATGGTTATTTTTGAACACCTATAAAATAGCCAGAATCAATGTAACTACAGTAATTATTGTCCTTTCAATCCGTCATTAGGCTAAATTTGAGGGTCTGAAAATCCTTTGGAATGAAGTTAAGAAAAAGAAAAATCTTCACATGTCTGGAAACCTCTCCTAAGATTCAATTCAGATTATTTCTCTAGCACCAGTTCCCAACAGGTCATCTCAAGACACTTTCCAGTTCACCAGATCATCCAGTCAGATTGGTTCAAAGTTTTCTATCTAAGGAAAACCAGTTGATTGCATCGACTTATTGACTAGAAGGCAATCCATCACACCAATCATGCTTGCAGCGACAGTGGAGAGGAAAAACTCCCTTTGAACAGGAAGAAACCTCCAGCAGAACCAGGCTCAGTGTGACAGATGAAGTAATTAATTACAAAATAAAGCATTGGAGCCTCTTAAGCTCAAACGTTTATATAACAGAAACCAATCAGACATAAATATGACCATTGACAGGTCAGGTGATTAACTAATTCTCTCCTTATCCCTGAACCTGTTAATGGGTGGGATTTATCAGACAGCAGGTGGAGGAGATGCACAAGTAATTATTTACCAGTCAAGACTGGCCAATGTGGCTGAATTTAACACACAACCTGCTGTAGCTATAACTACTAAAGTGGTTAATGTGTGTTCTGATAGAAAGGTGGCAGAAAACATAATGCATTACAGGCTGTATTAGGGGTTTTCTAGCAGATTGAATCAGGTCATTGTCTGAAAACATCCTCTCCTCTTAGAGCAGCAGTTGACACTTATTTGCAGCTATTTGCATTTCTCCACTGACTTTACAGCAATCTCCTACTAAGTGCACCACGTAGCAAGAGTGAAGGGGAAAGCTTTTTAACAGAAGCACACCTCCAGCAGAAACCTCAGCTCAGTACATAAGGCAGAAGTACTTTCCATGTTAAATAAATAGTACAGAGATAAAGACAGCCAAACAGGTAAGATCCAAGTCGGTTTTAAGATTAAAAAAGTCTATAAGAAAAAAAAAGAGTACTTATAGACTTAGTCACAGCTACGGATCAGCAATCTACCTTTTCTGTGAAAGAGGGGGGTCTTATTTTGAGAAGGTTCATCTGGATCAAAATATTCTAAACTAAAGCTGGGTTTGACAGTGAAATCGTCTGATTACTCAGGGTGAAGTAATTGAAGTATTGAAAATGGATTTATTCTAATGGAGTTAATTTCCTGTTACTGGTTCTAAGTACAGCCAGGTCTGCTTCTGGAACCAGACAATCGGTGCAGCTGCTGCTGTTATGGATGCATTTCACAGTTCTGATGTAGGAGAGCTGAGCCAGAAAGCACAGACGCTGATGCATTGGTTGGTCTCAGTTCCTACCATCACCTACAGCCATAACATCTGGACCATAATACAAAGAATGAGAACCTGGATACAGGCAGCTAGAATAATCTTCCGCTGCAGGGTGGCCAGGCATTCCATTGGAAATAGGGTGAGGAACTCAGCCACTGGGAGGTGCTTGGAGTCGAGTTGCTGCTTCTCCACATTGAAAGGGGTCAGCGGAGGTGATTTGGGCATCTGTTCTCTTCCCATAGGAGGGAAACTCACCCCAGAAGGAGGTCCAGGGATCAGCCTGTGACATGCTGGGGGGCTATGCCTCTTGGCTGGCTTTGGGACGAACCAAACCGTCCCAGACCAAATCCAAGAAAAGCTGGAGAGGGAAGTCTCTGCTGGAGATACTTCTACTGTATGACCGAGTTACAGATAAGTGGAAGAGGAGTACATTTCTTTTTTTTTTTTTGGTGCAAGTACAGAGACCTTCTTCCTTGAAAGACTGAACGGGTTTAAGTCCAAGTCCGTTGATCTTTGCTTCACACCCTAACTCCTAAAAAAAAAATAGAGCCATCCATAGAGCTATTACTGCTTAGAGCTGGCTGGGGGAACGGATGTCTCAAAGTGACTGTAATAGAGTCATTGCTCCAAAAATGGATTATTCTTGTTCTCCTTCAGTGGGAAAAATCAAAATCTAGATCAGTCATTTTTTCTTAAAATAAGTCCATTTTTACTTGGATTGAGGAGGTAAAACAGACATTTTGCCAATGGAACAAGACAATTTACACTTAAAATAAGAAAACACAATTGCATTGTCTTATTTCAAGAGCATACTATCTAACTATCTTATCTTAAGAGTAAAAATACTCATTAGATTGACAAACTTTCTCATTAAGGGTAAATACACGTTATTTAAGAAATGTTTACCTATTTCTAGATTGTTTTCCCATTGTTCATAATTCAAGAAAATTATTTTGTCACACTTGACTTTTTTCCTGTACAACAGACTATTTTTTAGGTCAAGAGGGGCACTTCTAGAAAACAAAAAATTTTTTTTAGAAATGGTTTGAGTTTAAAAGGCATATAAACCCTAAACAGGACCTCTTCGTTTTGTCCAGGACTTGGAGAACATGCAGCAATCATTGTTGTCCAGATGCCACAGAAAACCTATGTTTTGGCAGCAAAAGGGGGACCAACACACCTTTAGGCAGGAGGTCAAAACCAAGCCTGATCTGCAAAGACTGCAAACATTCTGGGTAACAATACAGTTTATACAGACTGTTTAAGGTAGGCACCAAACTATCCCGTTATAAGAGTATCTATTATATCTAAACTTATTTCAAATTCGGAGATGTCTTGTGTTTGAATAAAACAAAAAAAAAATCTGTTTTCCTTTTTGATTATATCATAATCTGACTGCATGTTTTAGGTAAGAAATGATTTTCCCAATCCCATTCAACATCTCCATGGCCTTTGAACAAAGAATAAAAAGAAGAACTGAATATGTGGAGATGTGTTTGTGCTCATGAGCAGGTTTACACTGGAAGTCTAATCTGAATTGTCCTTCTAGCCACCCTACACAGGAAGTCTAACTGCTGACAGGAAGGAAGCTCCCTCCCCAGCTCAGTAGGCCTAATTATACTGCCAAAGGCATTTCCCATGTCTTCTATGACTTACAGCATCTTCTCTGGAACGCAGATTATTTCTCCCGCAAAGCAGAATCCTTCATTAAAGAGTTATTTGCTTGCAGGGGTTGGGAAGCCTGAGTAACGTGCTGTAAATGTAGTGTGGCCAATGAAATTATTCTTTACTCTAAATGTGGGTCATAGACAGGAAAATCCAAAATGGCTTCGATAAAAAAGTACCAATGAATCATGGCGCTTTCCCTGCACAAAATAAAAGGAGAGTTGGTTTAAGTACAACTAAACCATCATAATACAAATGAAAACCAAAAAAAAAAAAACTGTTTTAATCATTTATTTTTCTTATAAATACAGCGAAAGGGCCTTGGTACATCTTAAGGTATTGGTAAACCTGACCTGATTTTTCATAATTCATCACTTTATTTAAGAAGTCTGTAATTGTAAATCCTTTTTTGTCCTTTATTATTTGTTACTCCACATAAATGTAATATTCTCCAACAGCTTTCTGCTTTCACTTGATTGGTAGACATAAGCCATGTATGTAACGTAGTCTGTAGATCCCTGTTTATTCTGCTTTGGGGCAGGGTCTGTGTTAAATCTAGTCTCACTATAACCACAGCTGTTCTGTTTCTTTTAAATGTCTTTCAGAGAACAACCAGCTTTCATAAATAATGGGAAACCCAGCAGCAAAGTCAGGGTAAAGTTAGGGTCAGGGTAAAGGTTCTGGTTCAGTTTAAAGAAGGTTCTAAAACAGCCTCAGAAGCTCTGAGTATCTCCTAGAACTTTGTTCAACCCATCATGGGAACACGGAAAGTGGACAGACCTCCTGCAGACCTACCAAGAGATGGACCTCCAACTAGAGAGAGAGGCTGGAAAAGGTGAGAATTATTAAGGGGGGCAGCCAAGAGGACCATGATGACTCTAGAGGAGCTGTAGAAAATCATAGCTTAGGTGGAACAATCGGCTGAGATCAGTTTTAGTCAAGTTCTTTGTAAATCAGATGGTTGTGGAAAGATGGAAAAACAAAACAGAGGTTAAAAGAACTCCTGTTTGGATCACAATCATTCATTGGCATAAGCAACAGCTGCAAATCAATATATCAATTTAATTCGCCTTCACAATTACAAGTTTCTGTGGATCTTTCATGTACAAATATTAATAAAATGCACAGAAATATGTGGTTATAACACTTCAAAAGGTGCAAATACTTCTACAATCATTGTTATTATCATGGGAACAGAAAAAATAAGAAACATGCAACCTATGACCCTGTAAAGGAAATTAGTCATGCGATTTAAAATGTGACGAACATGGTAGACCAGTGAAGATGATATATGGACATTACCATCTGGTTTAAGAGACACTGCAATGAGCTCAGAGATTTGCTGCAGGCTTAACACCCCCCACTTATCAGTGTGATGAAGTATGTGTGCAATGACCCCACAGCCACCTCCACTGGACCACCAGGTGAGAGTCTGTGGGGCAGGGCTGCCCACAGAACATTCAACGTTTGAGTCGATCAGGAATCAGGTTCACAAATACAGGAAACTAAAAGGAAGCAGTTGTAATTTAGCATGTGATGAAATTATAAGGCATCATTCAAAATGGACTGTTTGGAACCAGCTGATTAACGAAAAAGGAGTTTCTGTTCATGTTTGTCTTCATCTCTGAAGTAAAATCTGGAATTCCACTTTACCTGAAGTTGACTTTTACTTCTTTTGTTTCTCTTCACTCTCTTCTTAAAGCCAAACTCCCTTTGTTAGCTTGACAAAAGTCCCAGAGTCTCTCTCTGAACCGGCCAGACGCCTCAGTCAGCTTTTCCTGCTTCTCCTTTTCTGCCTTCTGGATAAACTAAGCCTGTCTGGTTTTATAAGTTAACCTGTTTTTCTACAGAATTGGAACTTAAACATAATTTCAGTCGTAACGGCTTTGATGAAATTTAAAAGCCTTTCCTCTCACAGTTTTCTGCCTTTGTCTTTCCCTGCCTCTTTCCTTTACTCTCTCTCTCTCCTCAATGTTTTCCAGATGCGTGTGCTCTGTTGCCCTTCCCGTTCAGGATCCCTCCCCCTTCAGTTTTTTGACCCTGCTGATTCCTCCTGCAGCAAAAGTTCTTAGCATGACTTATAAATCCAATTTTTCACCTCTTTGTTGAACTAATCTGAGTTAAGTTTCCTGTTTCCTCCATTTCAGTGATACAACCCAACACAGTGCAGAAGTTCAAGAACATTCTGACTCAACGGAACTCGAAGACTGGCCCACTTCCCGACCAAACAGTGGACCTGGTCCCATTTCTGCAGATCATTCTCATTGTATAGTGGCTTTGTTTTACAATCTTAGGTTTTCAACAACAAAATTGTAAAACTTTACTTTTGCCTGAACTTTTTTTAAAATCACAATTTCAATTCAGTTTATTTATATAGCGCCAATTCACAACACATGTCATCTCAAGGCACTTTAATTATAGTTCTGTTGAAGGTCCTTAAATCATTTAAATATATCAGCCAATGAGAAGAAGAAACTCATCACCAATGTTACCAGTTTGATGTTCAGAAGGTGTAAGTCTGTCCCACTAAAATGGGGAAGACTAATGTTTTCATGAGCAGTTTATCTAATTAGCATAAGATTTGACAAATGAAATGGGAGCATACAGACAGAGGGAATCATTCTTAACAGAGAAGGCTTTGGATTGTCTTTGATCTAGAACACTGTTATCTCGATATTGCTGGAGCCAGTGATGTCTTCTGATTCACAAACATTGTGTGTGATGTAACGATGTAATCACGTGGCATGGTTTGACTGTGCAGATCTATAAAAAGCTTCTTTTAACTCTTATTTGGGGCAGACTACCAGACGAAGTAAGCTCAGTGACACCATTGTAAACTGAGCCATTTCTCTGGTCTGAGTAAGATAAATTATATATGCCATTGTGTTTCCTGGTCATTTAATAAATATGCATGAAAAAGTGTTATCTAAAGTGTTGGTTCCAAATTATCTCTTTCCTGGAAATAATCTGGAAGAGAAATATTTAAATGAACTTTCCAGGGGGACCACTGTCTCTGTAGCAATCCACAAATCAGGCCTGCATGGTAAACTGACCAGATGAAAGTCACTCTGCAATAAAAGGATAATAATGCCCCATCTGGAATCTATTGAATTATCACTTCTGAAGGACTTTCAGACTCCGAGGAACAGAAAAAGAAAAGTTCTCGGATCGGATCAGGCAAAGATCATACTCTTTGGTGTATACGCCTGGCATTATATTTGGAGGAAATTATGCACCGCACCTCACCAGGGCAACACCATTCCCAAAGTAAAGCACATTGGTGGCAGCATCATGCTGTGTGGACATATTTCTGCAACAGGAACTGTAAGACTAGTCAACTAAGCAAGATGAAAACCTGCTCCAGAGTTCTCTGGAGCAATTATGAAAACTAGGAAAGAAAAAAACATTGTTATCTGCTGAAATAAAAATAACATTAAGATACAACACAATCTGAATAGAAAGTGCTTAGTTTTCATTTGTCTGTCATGATCTTAGCACTAATGACTAGCTTAATGGTTCATTCCATTCACCTGCCCATCTCCGCCCAGTTTCCCATTACTGTTCATCTTATCCACCTGCTTTTGCCTCTATTTAAGCTGATTGCCCCCATTAGTCAGTGGCAGATTTTTCCAGCCTTTGGTGAGAGTTCTCTAGCGCCCCCTGTGTGTTGTTCTGATTGCCTGATCCTGTCTTGTTCTTCCCTTTGGACCTCTGAGCCTGCTTGTTCCCATTCTGAACTGTTTGCCTGACCTGTCTTTGGACTTCTGCTGGTTTCTGCCTGCTTTCAACCCTTTCAGCCTCTTTTGAACCCGTAAGCCAAGCCACCATTTTTAAACTTGATCTCCGAAATGCCTACCACCTGGTCCGTATTCGGTAGGGGGATGAGTGGAAAACTGCTTTCAAGACTCACATTGGTCATTTTGAATATCTGGTTATGCCTTTTGGTCGTTCTAATGCCCCTGCAGTTTTTCAGGCCCTCGTTAATGATGTCCTGAGGGACTTTCTAAACGTCTTTGTTTTTGTCTACATTGACGACATCCTGATCTTTTCCATTCTGAACTGTTTGCCTGACCTGTCTTTGGACTTATGCTGGTTTCTGCCTGCTTTCGACCCTTTCAGCCTCTTTTGAACCCGTAAGCCCGAGGATCTCTCTCCTATCCTCGACTAGGATTTCCTTACAGTATATCTTTGGATCTTGTGGCCTGGACTCCTGTTTACCTAATTGACACAAGCTTTGGCTTCACCTTCTAGAAACTCCTGCCTTCCCTTGTCTGCTTGCATCTGTTGGTCAGACAGCTCAGCAGTCTTCTTGGCTTTGACTCGTGGAACTCTCTAAGCAGCATCTGCCACATACTGTGGAAAATCATCTGGCTGGATTCCTCTCCTTCTTCTAGGTACGGACGTAACTTAAAAGCCAGATTAGTGACGCACACGCACGTAATTGTCTTCCGTCAGATTTATGTGGTCACTAACTAAAGTTTTCCCCTCTACAGAGATTCTGCTCTTTTTCCATCCTAGCTGCTGAGTCGCATATTCAAAATTTTGTCAAGACACTCTTTTGTAAAGTCGTCAGTCTGTCTGCCTGAAATTCTGGGTCCACAGTTCTGGAACTGCCTTCAGACTCCTGGACATGTGACCCTTCCTGTTCTGATCTTTTTGCCTGACCTGGCTTTGGCCTCCTGCTGGTTCTCCTTTCAACCACAGCATCTGGGACACTGTGGGCGGCGCCCGCTGTATCGTGTTGGCAGCCAACCGGCCGGATCCTACCTTGTTCTCTGCCTATGCACTGAAATGTTAAATCAGGTTAGTGACTCATGCTTTTATAATCATCCTCACTAACCTGTGTTTCTCTCCTGTAGAGGTTTCTGCCCTAGACACGCTAGCCACTGCAGATCTGCCTGTATTTAATAAAAGCTTTTTCAAGTATTCCACTGTGTGTCTGGGTCCTACTTTCTGAACCATGACACCGCTAAATTGAACCCTTCTATTAGGGGAGGAAGACTCTGTTAAAGTAATCCTAAAGGTCATTAAAAAGTAGTCAGAGAAGTCAGGGTTGTGAAAAAATGCCATGTGTTGAAAGTATGAAGATGAGAATGTGTGGGACTATGCACATTTTGAACAAAGCCAATAGCATTTAAGATAGCATTAAAGGCTGGATTTAAGCTATCACCTTCAATGTCATCATGGATGTTAAAATCCCCCACTATGATGACCCTGTCAGTATCAAACACATAATCAGATAGGAAGTCTCAAAACTGATCTAAAAATTCAGAGTAATGACCTAGTGGACAACACAACGTTTGCAATTTGGATAGAGAGTAAAGAGCTGACTTTGCAATTGGCTGGCAAAGATTATGTCATACGAGTGGGTGTGCACCACTTATGGGCCGGGGGGAGTTGAACATTGAATTTTCCCATTCAAATGAGATTACAGAACTTGAATTTTTGGTATTAAACTGATATTTTCAAATCATAGAAAAAAAAGCTGTCCTACAGGGGAACACCGTTTTTTTTTTTTTTTTTTATTGGGCCCTTGATTTTACGTTATTCCATCATGTTCTACTCACCCACATTAGTTTAGTGTCATTTGGAGCCGTTCTGAAGATATTCCGTTAGGTTATGTCCAAGTAACGTCTTCGTATGGGCAACGAGTTGAGGGGACAAACTAAACTGTTCATTATTTATCATTTATGGTACGCCAGCATTCATAACATGTAGGCCAATCACTGTCACCCAGACATCCACTGGTATATTTTTTAATATTTATATTTTTTAAAACAAACGGAGTGTGTATGACATCATCCGTGCGCCACGAACTGGAGTTGTGATAAGCAGCCCGGGCTATGCTACCATACAGTTCTGGGATCCATGAGTCAGTAGCCAGACACGCTCAGAGGGAGACAGGCAGGCTCAGTGGTAGAGAGGAACATAGACAAGACCTGGTACCAGGGTAACTGCCGAACTTTAAACTTTACTCCACCTTGGAGCCAAGATTACAGGAATTTAAACGGACTGACTATACCATTGTAGAGGGTGCTTTAGCATGTGATTTGGTTCCCAAGGGGGCATTTTAGCATATGTTTGGGTTTCCAAATGAGCACTTTAGCATGTTTTTTCTACAATTACCGCCCAAGCTCCCCTGCATGTCACTGTTTAAGAGACCGAACCACAGGACCCCTATGCCCTTTCATTAGCTCATTAGACACAGGCGTGATCTATATAGAGAAGTAGCCTGTCTTTGGATGTCTGGATGGTTTGATAAATTGGAAATATATTTTGCATACCCCATTTTGGGGTTTTGGGGCACATGTACATTTTTAGTATAAATCTCATGCAATTTTAAGAAATGATATTCCAAGATCTTAAACCACATAAAGTCATCATTAACATGATGGCTCTATGAGACTTTAATTAGAAATCATGTTCTGTTCTGGAAAATGTGATCAAAGTTTTATTTGTTATTATGCTAGAATGCCTGCTTTGGCCATTGCCTTTTCTCTGGCTTTTACCTTGTTCCCTCCCTCCTGGATTTGACAGCGGGTGTAGACAGTTTCACAAACAACAATCTCCTTAACTATTTTAGGTGGCGGGGGTGTTTCTTTATTTACACAGAGCCGAAAAGGTTACAGGAATTTATAAAAACCTGTCAATTTATAAATCTCTACTTTAATATTCCGTTGTTTTTCATGTGTTCTGTGTCTAATATCAGCTTAATGGGGTAAAAACTTTAGGTTGAACCAAAAGGAAAAAAACAAAACAAATGTGTTAGAGGGCAGAAAGCTTTTCCACGTCCCTGTAGACCCTGTGTCCCCTACAATCATTTTCTTAATGCACAGACTCTGGCTGAACGAGGGCAGCCTTGGTTTCAAGCTAGACTAAACAGGTTAATGTAATGAGAGCCTTACAATTTGGAAATGGAGGCCATCATGACTGTCACTTCTATTTCTGTCTTTGCCATCCTTTGGATCACTGCCCACTTGTTTCTGAAGGCTGGATAAGTATATCTGATTTCTTATAAGACTGGAGTCAGTTGTGTTTGGCCTAATCAAGGAGTGCAGTTGAACTTTTTTATTTCTCTTCTAATTCTAGACATAGATCCTGAAAATAAACATCCTTCAGCTCAACTTTTAATTTTCATAGAGCTTCAGCTTAAAAATGATTCCTAACCAGATCCGTTTTGTAAAATTTTGACGGTTAGAAAGTGGTTCACTTTACTCACTGTCATAAGGGCTGATTAGAATTAGAAAGCTGTAGTTCTTTTCCGATCAAATTTAGTCTGGTTCCCTGTTTGTTTCAGTAATGAGAAGCCAGGTTTTTTAATGGTACCAAAGGGGCAATAAATAGATCATGACTGAGGCTACTTGCAATGTTACCAGCTTCCCACAAACACATGCAGACATGGAAGGGGAATGCCAGCAATCTGACTTCATCCTTAAGAGAAACAGTGATGAAACAGTAACCTGAGACACTGCTGGCTTTGTTTACACTGCTGCCCTACATGCACTCTGTGTGAGTAGCTGCTTTATAAAGTCTCTACTGCCAAATTAAACTTTATCACAATGTTAATGTGGCAGAATACAATGTAAAAACCCCTCTCTCTCCATTTTAAATGTCTCACAATTTCAGGCTAATGGGAAATATTTGTTGATGACAATTTGTTGTTTTGTGGAGAATATTTTAAATTCAAACATACTTTTTAAGTTTGACATTTTTGTGAAATAATCTATAAAAAGTACAACTGAGCCGTGAGTTTATAAAACAAGCTTGTAACAACAAAAAAATTCCTCCATTACATTAAAAAATAATTTTACTAAAATCCCAATAAATTAATAAATGACAAAACCTTTTAAATAGCTAATTAATGTCTGAAACCAGACAGTTATACTGTAAATGCTCTGTGACTTTCTGTATTTCTGTTTGTCTTTATTTTTATTGATCTGTTTAGAGCTTAAGTTTCAGCTTGAGTGTAGCACATTTCTTATGTTTGTAAATGATCCTACAGTATGAAGATGAGACCTTCTTCGTAGGTCCCAGTGAGGGAAATAAATGGTGTCCATTTCACCCTACGTATCTGGACAGCTTGTACTGCTGTTCCTTTATCTTGATTGTGCGTTGGAGGAGTAATTGCCAGCCTTGTGTTGGAGATGTGATTGCTTTGCTTCATGGCCCACGACTCAAAGTAAGTTAATGTCTACTTCTGTAGCGCTCAACCAGGAGGAGTTAATTTAGCAGGCATTGATTGTATGCAAAATTGCAGGGCTTAATTTGATAGAACTTTCAACCATCCTAGACTTTGAACCATCCTGTCTGCATGATTTGGTTCTAGATGATGTGTGTCATGAATATATGCTTTATAAGTAATGCCAAATTAATTGAGTCATTTTAAAGGGATATTTACCTTACTTTTCATTCAGACCAGAGGAATTGTGGATGAAGCTAACTTGCTATTGTTAGCCGATGTACTAAAATAGTAGAAAGATGTACTAAATTTGAGAAGCTGGAGTGACAAAATTTCCAAATTACTCCAATGTAACAAGGGGAGGAATGAACCACACAGTGTTCTAATTGATATATTGATATATACATAGATGATATATACATACACACACACATATATATATATATATATATATATATATTAATATATATATTAATTTATGTTCTAATTGATACGCCTATAAAAAGTGCAGTTTTTATAAGCATTAATAATATTTAGATATCTGAAATT